CATATATATTGCAGATCCAATACCACATTAAGTAATACAGTATGTGGACAAGGAGCCCGATAATAGTGCCCGATATGAGATCATCAGATTAGCCATAAGGTGATCGTATGAAGTAACCCCACCACCTCAAACTCATTAAAGCCCATTAATTTTTTCAACAAGACTGGAATAAAACGTCAGAGTATTAAAATTAGGATATTCTCTCATGTACATTAACCCCTTTTCCATCTCGACTTGGAATAGGAGTTGGGCTTTAACTTGATCTCTCGTAGGAATATCAGTACTTTTCCAAAATCTAGCAATTAATATTTTAGTAGCCATTAGACAATGTATAATCACAATATCAAGATTATCCTTTATTTCTAAGCCCATAAAATGGAGTAGGGTGACTTCCGGTTTGAATTCCAAATAAATACCTCCAATTCTATTTATAAATTCATATGTAATAGTCCAGAGAGACTTGATTCGATGGCAGGTCCACCATATATGAAACATAGAGCCATCTGGGTGTAGACACCACCAACAATTAGATGGATTAGTAATAGAAATTTTAGCAAGTCTGATCGGTACCAAGTTTCATCTATATAATGTTTTAGCAAAAGTAGAATATTCAGGCAGTGAATAATTTTTTTTGTTCTTATAAAGGATTTACACCAACTATTAAATGGAATGGAAATTGCTAGATCAGTTTCCCATTTGGTTAAGGCTTTGGGGATAAGTGGGGTCCCTTTCATTTTTATTAGTTCAACTGCAATAGAGAAAATCTTTTTAACGTTACACACTGAAAAGATTTTCCTGAACAATTTTCCAAAATGGCCTTCTAAAGCCAATATGTTATCTTTCAAATAGCTCTTAATACGAAGAAAATTAAATAATTCTCTAGAGGGTAAATCTAACCAGTTTTTCAGAACTTCAAAGCTTTTCAATTGGTGGTCATTATAAAGATCTTTTATCTTATGATTAGGATCTTTAAACCAATTCGTCAGGTTTATCTCTAGCATAAAACATTCTAACGACCTTAGACTCAGGTTCTCATATAATTTTCTGTTAATATTCAACTTCTTCTTTATATTAGTCCATTCTTTTAATGTCTGTGATAAAGACAAAGGAAAATGAGAACCAATCTCGCACAAACGCTTATTCTGGCTTGCCTCTCTCAATAAGAGGAATTCAAGGTTATCTAAACCAAGTCTGGCTGCTTCAATTTTATACCAAGCTTGGTCTATAGAGTCGCTTAGTTGTAATTTACTGGCATGAACAAGTATATTAGCCTGGTAGATTTGATTAACTAGGGGGTAACCCAACCCCCCCTGGTGGGCCTTCCTTGATAGAGTGTATGTACTAATTCTTGGTCTCTTCCCTCTCCAAACATACGCTGTAATGCTATTTTGCAGCATATTCAGCCAATAGCTCGAAATCGAGAGAGGGAGCATACTGAATAAGTATGCCCATTTAGGAATTATATAGGCTTTAATAGTATTTATCCTTCTACACTAGGAAATTTCATGCACTCTCCATTCTTTTAATAACATATTAGTCTCTTTTAACAGCTTCAAAAAATTGATTTCCATAGTCCGTCTTATATCTGCAGTTATAATTACCCCCAAATATATAAACTCTTTTTTTGTCCATTTAAAGTCAAAATCTTTCTTTAGGGAAAATAAATTATCTTTATGAATATTAATCGGCATAGCTATTGTTTTATTCGTGTTCCGATTATAATCTGAAACACTACTATAGTTGTTAAATTCTTGCATTAAATGAGGAAGAGAAACCAGGGGATCCATAATAGAAATTAAGATATCGTCAGCATATAAACATATCTTCCATTCATCAAGTTGAGTTCCTAATCCTTTAATCCCTACATTTTGTCTAATATTATTTGCTAGTGGTTCAATTGATAAGACGTATAATAAAGGTGAGAGAGGACACCCCTGTCTCGTCCCATTGTTAATATAGAACCAATCTGAGCACAGATCACGGGCTACTATACGGGCAGAGGGATTCGAATATATAGCTCCCACCGCATTCAAGAACCATCCGTCAAAACCGAACTGTAACAAAGTTCTCTTCAGATATCCCCACCGACCCTGGCGAAGGCTTTTTCTGCGTCCACCGACAGGGTCAGAAGGGGGGTTCCCTCAACTTGAGCCCATTCTATAATGTCCAAAACCCTACGTGTGTTATTTGAGGAGTGTCTTCCCTGCATAAAACCTATCTGGTCCCTATGTATAAGTGATGGCAAAACTGTTTTCAAACGTTCTGCTAAAATTGCGGCATAAAGTTTCATATCCACATTAACCAGAGAAATAGGACGATAATTACTCACATCATCTGGGCTTTTGCCCTGTTTCAGAATTGGAGTAATATGAGCCCTTAATAAATCTTGAGATGCATTCCCTTTGATTGCCAATTCGTTGAAGGTATCAGTTAACAACGGAATTAATTGTCTCTTAAAAACCTTAAAAAACAAATTCGTATACCCATCCTGTCCAGGAGCTTTACTATTAACAAGCTTATCAATTGCCAACTCCACTTCATGATGAGATATATTTCTATTAAGTTTCACCATCTGATCATTAGATAATTTAGATAGATTGGAATTTTTCAAGTAAATGTCCAACAAACCTTGGGGATTTATTCAGGTTATAAAGTTTTTTATAAAAAGCTCTAAATTTACTGGCAATTTCTTCAGGCTTATAGATGTAATTAATTCCATCTCTGAATTTAGATTTCTTATGGTCAGTCATCTTTTTCTTCAGTTTATTTGTTAAGACTGAGTCTACCCGGTTGTTCTTATAATAATATTTAATATTTAACTTGTTTAGATTACGTTCCACCCTATTCTTAATCTGTTCATTTATCTTTTCTTGGTAGACTTTAATAGCTAAGGCTCTATCTTCAGAGTAAACTTGTTTGTTAGCTTTAGAGAGATTATAAAATTGAATATAAAGATCCGACAAAATATTATCTACATTCCTTTTTTGAAAACTTGAAAGTTTTATCTAGTATCCCCTGATGACACGAGGACCATAAGCATTCTTTAGATACCTCATCAGATGAATTCTCCTTAATAAAGAAATCAATTAACTTCTCTATATGTTCTACATTTGCTTTATTTTTTAGCAGATAATCTGCCAATTTCCAGATCTGCGGAGGTCTCTTATTAATTTCCACCAGATCTGCGATTACCATATCATGGTCTGACCAAGTATTTTCAACGATAGAAATTAGAGAAATTGCCTGAACTAATTTTAAATTTCCCAAAATCATATCTATCCGAGCAGCCGAATTATGAGGGATAGATCTGTGCGTAAAATTTCTTTCATTGGGATGAAACAATCTCCAACAGTCAAACATATCTGCTTTCTTAATCAATCTGCTTAACGACGCAGCCTGCCTTTTAAGAGATTTATCTATCCTCTGATTTTTAGCCAATTGTTTATCCCAAGAGGTATCAAAAATGCAGTTAAAATCGCCTGCAGGAATGACTCTATCATTTTTAACCTGTTCTACCAGACCTAAAATTTTCATCAATGTTTTAATTGGGTCTTTATTAGGTAAATATACATTGACCAAAATGTAATCCAACCCATTCATTTGACCCACTAAAATAATAAATCTCCCTTCCGGATCTAAATGATTATAACAGTAATCAAAGATAACTTCTCTAGAAAAAATTATAGATACACCACATTTCTTTTTTCCTTTTAAAGACGCAGAATAAATCACTGGATATTTTTTGAAGAACCATAATTTACTAGCTTCCCCTAACCAGTGGGTTTCCTGAATAAACCCTAATTGGATATTCAGATTCACCAGAGTATTAAACAAATATCCTCGTTTAAGAGGAGAGGAGAGTTGAGACCTTGGGCATTAATAGCTAGGATTCTAACCATCAGTTAATCTATATTTCTTTTTAGGGCTCCTTGACCACTTCTGCAACACATACGACGAGTTAAACATACTACACATCTGACAATACAACAATAAAACAATAAAATCTACATAAACTTCTGGAATACCAAAAATAATATTCCACATACTGAGAATCCCATAGACTCCCACAGTATAAGCAGGTGGAATAAGGTGGAAGAAGTGAGAGGAAAAGAGAGAAAAAAAAATTCTATATTAAAAATCTCGCTTAATAATTGTCAGAAAGCTACACCATTCAAAATAAATATCTAAATTGGAGTACTCTATATTAATTATACCACTCCCAGCAATATCGCTAATCTTCCTATTGCCCCTTAAGGGCCATCGTGAGTACGCTCTCAACTTCTAAAGTATTAATAATAGGTATTTCTAGGTAATTTAGTGTTTACAGTGCTATCATCATGACCTTTACTCCCATCATACCAATATAGACTACGTCACCAATTTTCCCAATTTAGGGCATTATAAATACCCCCTTAATTCCCAGAATTGTAGTCACCCTTGTAATACCTTATATTTCCAGAGATAACATCAAAATTTATTTTTTCCCTTTTCCCTTCCCATCCCTTCTTCCCGTCTCTCACGTGAAAAAAAAAAAGAAATTTACTCTATATTTGTTACACCACTCCTAGTATTTCCCTAAATTTTTCTGTTATCCCTAATAGGACCAGTGTGAATACACTCTCAATCTCTATAATATAAAAAACAAACAAATTCTAAATAGATTGCTATTTTGTGGTACTAACACCAGAATCTTTACTCCAATATTGCCTTTATAAACTACTACCCTTATTATTCCTATTAAGAGCGTTCTAAATACATTCTTAAATCTTAGGCATATATTCACCCTTGTGCACTTCTATACCATGATATCACCAAATTACAATATTACCACAGATTATCCCTTTAAAAGCGTTGTAAATACGCTCTTAACGCCCATGACCGTTTCAAAAAAAGAAAAAAAATTAAAAATTTTGCCTCTCATCTCTTCCGCCTCCCCCGCGCTCTATTTTCCAGGCGAGAACACGGGCACATCACTTCGCCCGCCAGACTAATACCTAAAACTACATATCAATATCTTTTAACCAGGCATGAGCCAGACCTGCTGACTTGAAAGACTTCCATATGTCGTTATAACAAATTAGTAAAACTGATTGAGCGGTCCATTTAAACTTTAGGTTGAATTTCTTCAGGCACGGAAAGACCGTGGAAAATGAATTTCTTCTTTGCCTCGTTAAATAAGAGACACCTGTTAACATTTTTATTGCTGTAAACTTTTCATCGTTTATCTTCATCTTCCTCGCTGTCTGAAGGATCTGAGTCCTGAGATCATATGAAACAAACGCTGCGATAACATCACGTGGGTACAGTTGATCTTTCTTTCTATAGGAAAGACGGTGGTACTGAGACAACTTTATATCTTGCTGTGCCGTAAGGATCCCCAAACAGTTAAAATAATTTATCAAAAAATCATATAGTTGAGCATCTGATATATCCTCAGGTATATTTCTGAACCTTAGGTTCAACCTTCTTGATCTGTCTTCCAGCTCGCACATTTTGTCTTCCATTTCTTTCATTTTCAATTCCGTCTTGATTTGAGTGTCCTTTACTGCCTGGAGCTGGAACACAATATCTTCTTCCTTTTCTTCTAATTTATGAATACGTTCCTTTAACTCAGCTAAGTCCATCTTTATATCAGAAAATGTATCACTCAAATCTTTTTTAATATCTTTAGACAGATCTTCCAAACATTTCTTTAAAAAAGGAGTAACTACTTCTTTGTCCAGAACTTTGATAGGTGAAACAGAAACCCCTGTTTGAAGAGATTCCAGAGATGATTGCTCCAAACAGTTATGGCTATCTTGTGGAACAAAGAAAGCCGATAATCTTTTCTCTTGCTTCTGGCCTTTTTTATCAGCTTTTGTTGAAGCTTTACTCTCCTGTGCTTTTTTGGAAGACATATCGCTTTAAATTTAGAGAAAAAAAAACTAATTCCCCTTTATATCGTAGGTAGCCCAGGTCAATCAATCAATCAATCAGCACCAGTTGTATATGTGCTATATGTGCTATATGTATGCAGCTAAGTCAGCAAGACCAACCAGTAGCATAACATGCACGTTTGAGTCCTTAGATGGCCACATATGTTTTATTTCGCTTTTTATACTATGTTCACAGTGTGATAACTGCCTTTTGGCATAAGATGCCACAGTGTTCACAGTGTTATAACTGCCTTTTTGGCCTTTTTGGCAGAAGATGCCACAGTATTCACAGTGTTATAACTGCCTTTTGGTATCAGATGCCACAGTATTCACAGTGTTATAACTGCCTTTTGGCATAAGATGCCACAGTATTCTCAGTGTTATAACTGCCTTTTGGCATAAGATGCCACAGTATTCTCAGTGTTATAACTGCCTTTTGGCATAAGATGCCACAGTTTTCACAGTGTTTTAACTGCTTTTTGGCATAAAATGCCACCGTGTTCACAGTGTTATAACTGCCTGTTTGGCATAAGATGCCACAAAATGATAAATGATAAAGGAAAAAGTAGCGATCTCACTCAGTCTAGAATTATACTGGATGTCCGCCTAGTTCACTTAGCTGTCGACCTGTCTAGTACCATACTGCTGGATCGGTCGGCTAGGTAGGTATCAGCCTGCTTGGGCTCCATGCTAGCGAGGCGGCAATTGCGCTTCTTGGCTTAGCGTCTCGCCTTCTCTTCCCACCGATCTCTCCGGTCCCAGCTCGTCCCCTCCCGGCGTGAGCGTCAATGCACAGAAATCTATATATTTAAATGGACACATTGTCACCAGAACAACTACAGCTTATTGCATTTGTTCTGGTGAGTAGAATCATTCCCTTCAGGCTTTTTGCAGTAGCACAGTCTTTTCAGAGAAAATGCAGTGTTTACATTACAGCCTAGTGATGACTCCACTGGCCACTCCTCAGATGGCTCCCAGAGGTGCTTCCTGGGGCAGTGTTGCAGAGTAAGCAGCACTGCCATTCAGTGCCTTCACCCTCTGCATGCAGACACTGAACTTTCCTCATAGAGATGCATTGATTCAATTCATCTCTACGAGGAGATGCTGATTGGCCAGGGCTGTGTTTGACATACATGTTTGTGTTCTTGACCCTATAATGCTCCTTTAATAAATTTTTATAAAGGTATAAAACATAGTAAGCAATGCATATGTTCTTTATGGAATAACTACCGTCATTTTCATCTTCACCAGTATTTCTCAGCCCAGCTATGTGACCACAATATTTTCTCCTTTTTATTTCTTTTTCTCCCCCATCAGTGTACTCATTGCCTTAGCAACCAGACTTGGATATTAATTTGGGTAAACATACAAATTTCTGATTTACAAACCGTCGTATAGACTAATCACAATGAGTTACAGAATGGACAAGAATGTTAATTTGCCTTGTAATTGAGCGTACACCCATGGTGCCAAATAAAAAAAAGAGATGATTGATTAGAAAAAAGATGAATGATGTCTATGGGAAATACACTAAATGATGATTTTATGTACAGACCAACTGAGGGAAAAAAAGTAGGAACAGTAAAATATATATAAATAAAGATTTATTAGTGCCCCTCTTCTTTTTCACTCAATTGGTTACTTTTTTCTCATTTTGATTTGTGAATAAAATGGAGGTAAAATGCAACAATGAATCAGTGTACCGCAAAATATATTCATAATATTTAGATTGATAATATGTATATATTTTGCAGTACACTGATCGGTCCGTTTTTGTACCCTTTCAGGTCATCTGATTTGTTTTTGTGTATCTTTTTGCAAGTCAAGACCATACATCTGTCCGTCCATCTGTCTGTCCAAAAAAGTTTTGTCAACACTCACATCACATGAGCTTCTCATAAATATAAAAACAACACAAACGAAGCACTCACAAATCGTTGGTTACCACAGCCCCTCCTACAGGGTGAAAAGTAAAGTCTATGTCCTAAATCACTTAGCTTGCTGAACAGCATTAGTTAAAGAGTGTGTCATCTTTTTTCATTTTGCAAACAGTGCAGATTTCAATAGAAATTGTCACTTTTATAAATTAACCTGGTTACACCCCCGTGGCTGTCAACCAGACAACATGTCACGTTACTTCCTGGTTTGGTTAGCTCAGTGGAGCTAAACTCAAGAGGCAGCAATTGCTCAGGAAACCTGCCTTGCAAAGACTTCTCATTCAGCTGCACTAGAAATTCTGTGATTGGACAGCTTCAGAAAGTCTGGGTGGGGTGAGAAGAGGAGGGTTTGCAAAGACAGCAAACAAGAGATCGGCAGGTTTTCATTTGAGGTATCTCTACTAGTGATTCTTTAAATTTATTTAGTATTTGGGCATTGGAGTGTCACTTTAAAGGGAGAATTTTGATGAATAATATGTAATGAAGAATCACGTTTCATAAACTAAAGTGTAGGAAAAGTGGGTTCTCTTTTTCTGGTTGTAGGGATCATTTGGTGACGTGATTAGATTCTTGCTTCAGTGGAGATAGAAGGATCCTGTAGAAAGATTCACAAAAGACATTAATGTTTAGAGAAACACTAAGACAAATATCAGCATTTGATTGTTTAACAAAAAATTAATTGGAAATAAAAAATAACTGTCTTCATGGACAAATACATACAAATAAGTCAATTAAGACATTCTTGAATTCTTATGCTTCCAACTAAGCTGGTGAAAACTAATGATGCAAGTCTGGGCTGTCTTTCATTTATTTTTAAACGTTAGGCAAATTTGAGAAAAAGTCTGTACAATGTCACTACAATGTTGACAAAGAATATAGAGTAAACAAAAGTCCTCGCAAATGTGAATGCGGAACCACCTGGCATCTTTAAACCAGTCTATAGAGTAGAGTACTAACTGCAATGTGGAATCACCCGCCATCCAACAGACAAATAGAAAAGATGGAAAAATATGGGGGAGATTGGGAGGAATGAAAGGAAGAGAAAAATAGAAAAAAAAAAACAGAAGTAAAGGTGGAATAGAGTAAAAGAGCAAGAGAGAAAAGAATATCTAATTCTACACATGACTTGAACACTTTCACAGGAAGTATATAGTATCCAATGAGTGCATGAGTCCGTGAACTGTTCTTAGAGACTGCATTAAGCTCCTCAAGACATCCTTCATGTGGGGCACCCACTCCTTAAAAGAAGGTACATGAGCAGATTTCCAGTGTACGGGATCAACTAAAGTATTCACCTAGCTCCCACTTCCCCTTTCAGTTTACTTCCTCTGCACCAAAATAAGCTTACAGAGGAGATAAACTGAAAAGGGCGACAGTAACTAGGTGAAAAGTCCAAGCCATCTCCAAATATCTGACACATGGCGTAATGAATAGTTTTAAAAAACCTGGGAATTAAGGGCCAATTCCATGCAATATGAAGTTAACCGTGGCCTCTCCACACTTCCAGCATATGCGGTGAGCCTCTGGATAACACCATGCTTTTGTCATCGGTGCCCAGTACCAACCAAATGGTAATCAGCTTATACTTCAGTTATTGATGTTTAAATGGAATAGAGCAGTGATATAAAAGTAAAATAAAGTTTTCAGCCTCTCTAAATCAGGATAGATCCAGTCAAGTTTAATGATCCATCTACTCATGAATGATGGGGCTTGATCGAGAGACATGGTTGTGAAAAGATGAGATCTGTAGAGATTTGTAACACTCAGTCACTATTCACCAAGTTTTTAAAGAGGATTGTGTTTGCATGATCTGGTATGTATATAGGTTATGATTTGTTTTATGTGAATTGTCTCTAGAGCTGTAGTGCAATCCTGTGTGAGAATGACATTACTCACCACCATATGCAAAGCGGGTAGTGTCCTGGAATCCATCATCTTTTGGCATAATGTCAGAAGAACACCCACCACAAGAGAGTATTGCTTTTTGAGTTAATGTATCCTAAATGTATAGTGTCAGTCAGTGCATCAAATAAATTAATCATTCTTTATGTTATCTAATAAAAGTACACAGCAAATACATAAGTGGAAAAAAGCAGACATATTTAATTTTTTTAGGGATGAAGAACTGTAATCTATGTCACCTCAAGATGCTTCCAACCAAAGAAAAAATAAAATACATATATGTGTATAACGATTTTAAAATGAAACTATATAATTTGAACCACAGTGGCCTGAGCGGCGGGTGGGTGCCCTAAATTTAGAATAAGGGGGAGGACCTATTGTCCTCCCCCCCGGGTCCCACCCCTGAGCAGTGGGTGGGGGCCCTAACTATCAATAAGGGGGGGGGACCTAATGTCCTCCCCCCGGCCCCCACCCCTGAGTGGTGGGGGGGGGCCTAAATATCAATAATAAGGGGAACTTATTGTCCTCCACTCTGGCCCCCACCCCTGAGCGGCGGGTGTGGGCCCTAAATTTAGAATAAGGGGGGGACCTATTGTCCTCCCCCCCGGTCCCAACCCCTGAGCGGTGGGTGGGGCCCTAAATTAGACTAAGGAGGGACCCTAAATAAAAATGTAATCCCCCCAGATCCCCCCCTTTCCCCCAAAAAATAATGAGGGGGGACCCTTATCTAAATACCTGTAAAAAAAAACAAAAAAACTACCATTTGATGTCTTCTTTCTTCTAAACGCTTCTTTTTTCAGCCCCAAAAAAGGGAAAATAAAAATCCATAATAACCGTCGCACTTAAAACAAAACAAAAAACAGCACAAAAAAAATAATCCATCTTCACCCATGGAGGGCTCCACGAAGACTGAGCTCTGCAGGGCGGGGGAAGGCTAATAAAGTCTTGCCCCACCCTGCAATTAGGGTCAGAGCACTCTGATTGGTGGATTTCAAGACAACCAATCAGAGCGCTGTGACAGGTAAATGTAGAGACTTGTAAATCTAACTTAAACAATATACAAACAAAATGACAAATAAAAAGCAATAATACTTAGCTTATAAAGATGTGTAACAGCCTCCCTAGGTCGCTACCCAAACGAGC